ATTTCTCTCCTGATTCAGACGAGACGACTCTTTCACTGGAGAAAGCAACATTATGGATAGAGGACTATATGTCTGGAGTTAAAAATGTATTAATGATGGATTCGTTTCTTATAAGTTTTTATCAGCTGTTTGGAATCTCATTCTGACGGCACCCATTCACTGCAGAGGATCCATTGCTGAGCAAGTGATAAAATGCTACATTTCTCCAAATCTGATGAAGAAACAAACTCATCTACATCTTGGATGGCTTAAGGGTGAGGACATTGAAGGTGAGGGTGAATTAATCAAATATTAATTCATATGTACTATATTAATAGTACACTATATATATATTTACAGTGCCAATATTTGTTTGGATAAAGAATAAGATTTAGGACATACATTGCTTCAATAACAGATGGTGTGTGGAGCATCTGCTCTTCTCTAAAACATCCAACTGAACAAATCCGGGTCCCGTGGGGCCTTCCGATATAGAAACAGATGTAAGAGCTTTGAAAACATGTCAGCTATTCTGTTCTGAACATTAAACTTTTGAGATGGTATTTAGCATCCTCATATGGTGACATCATCAAAGACAGACTCATCAGTATGCCATGATTGACTCACAGCAGTCGGTCTGTATTGACTCACTGTATTTGTGTTACAGTATGTTGTGAGATATAGAAGATGATAACTATAATAGGTTATTTGTGTATAGAAAAGCTACACTTAATCAGTATTTGCACCTTGTTTTCCAATAAAAAAATGCTTCAAAAATGTAAAGCAAAACTGCAACTGATATTTCAAAGTTGTTTTAAAAATATATATTGTGAGTATTTAGTCTTGCTGGCAAATACTTTAAAATTCATTTAGGTTTATGCTTCGAAACAATGTGCTAACAGTCCGAAAACAGATTTAAACCTCTAGTTTTGGATGCTTGGTTATAATTTGCCTGTTTTTATTAGCTATATTTGTGGGTTTTGCACACAAGCAGAAGCACCAGTGAGCTGTTGTTGGTTTTCATACTTCCACTGAAGCATTGTTGAGTCTCTGTCCGTGGTGCTGATCATCAGACCAATGAACTTCACTGTCATTCGCACTCACATTCACCACAAAACATACCTGGTTGCTTAAATCACTCTTGAAATGTGTGCATGTCACCAGACTGTAAAACAAAACATCAAGTCAGCACAAGCACACATTTTCAAGCACAAGTTTGTTGGGTTTGAAATGCTAAAACTGATGTAATTTTGAAAACATTTGTGAAACAGTAAAACACGTTAACGTGACGAATTACACCAAAATTACACTAATTAAACCAAAAGGATCAAATTTACTTAAAAAACAGAAAAATTGATAGACTTTTTTTTTATTATCTGAGGCTATATCTTGAATTGAAGTGTATTTTTCTCATTTTATTATCAACATTTTATTATTTAAATCTAACAATATATCTCAGTAAAAAAGAAGACAAAATATTGATGATTTGTATGCTGTATATTCAGTGCTTTAATTGTGTGTGTGCATTTGTAGTTTTACATTGTAAACTGTCTAACTGTTGTCATGAATATGTGACATGGATTTTCTGTGATGCTCACATTGACGTCTTGAAGTTCAATGGAAGATTTATTTGAGTGCAGAATCCTTCAGACTTTCTGCCAGAGACACAGGCTGGAGGAGGACCTACTCCAAACACACACACAAGCTGTTGATTCATGAGCAAGACTCAGTCCAGAAATACCCGGCAGACGGACATCATTCATTACGTATTCAGTGACAAACATTGCTGTGTGATGCAGAATGAATCGGTGCTCCCCTATGAGTCTATACATAACAGAAATGAATGATTATGATTAGCGTCATGTTTCAGATGACAATAACGTTTAACCCTGTAAAGACTGACATGAAATAATAGTCTGATTTTTTTTGGAACAGTTTATTGAACCTTTAGACCAAATTAAAAAAATAAAAATAAAGTGCATATGAGATTTTTGTTGAGTAACATATTTGAGTTTTAAGGTTTTTATGGTTCATATTGTATGATATAGTGAGAATATGGAAGAAGAGAAAACAGCCCAGTTTTATTCAGAGTCCCAAATGAGCAAAAACATGCGATTTAGTACAGATGCTGATATTTATATGGCCAAAAAGATAAAGGGGGTGATGGCTCCATATCACAGTTTTGGCTTCGGTACAATATTAGAATACACTCTAAAAAATGCTGGGTTAAATATAACCCAGCGCTGGGTTAAAAAGGGACAAACCCAGCTATTGGGTTGTTTTGACCCAGCGGTTGGGTTGCTGGGTCAAAACAACCCAATAGCTGGGTTTGTCCCTTTTTAACCCAGCGCTGGGTTATTTTTAACCCAGCATTTTTTAGAGTGTACAATCGATACTAAATCGATAACATATGACAAATAATGACAAATAAGCAGCATCATAAGATTACTGAATTAAAAACAATTTTATTAAGAACACTTAATGAAACTCTGCAATAACAAATGTGATGCTTGTTTTCAAGCATAAACAAATAAAACAACACAAACAGCAATTCTCAGTGCTCCAAGACAAGTGATACAATCAAAATTTTATGTATTTTATTATTTAACTATTATTGAATTACTATTATTGAATTATACAAAAAAGTGCAATCTTCCTATAAAAAGCGACACATTACATAGAACATCTGGCAGAGGCTATTAGTTTGCATTTACACTCCAAGACTTAATGCACAGATCTGTTTTGACATACTATCAGATTTTTTGTCCTGTCCGTTTCTGTGGTTATCATTGTCAATCATCGCCGTTTCAGATTTAATCTACAATTTAATATAAGGTTGTTGTCAATCCAGAAACTTTGCAATGTGCAGTTAGCAGCATGACAAATGTATATTATATACTATATTATATACAAAAAGCATCATATTGCATTATATACCGTTATATTCACGGAAGCTCAGCGCCACCATACTGACTGAGCGAAAACTCTGATAATGAAACTGAATCAATGAAGCTGACAACACTGCACAACAAATCTCTTACGTACATCATGCTTTTGTATTATTATTATAATGAAAGGATTCAGAGCAACTGTAACATCTCTGATTGACAGAAATGTCTGTGATTGGCTACTTTGCTCAATGCAATTCCTACTGTTCAGATATAGCTAATCACTCCCTCTCACAAAGACATTAGAATTTAAGAAGAGTGCAACCCTGGTCAAATCAAGTTAATTACTATCTTTTTATACCTGATTTAATAAATGGGATTGTGTTTGCATGTTACTGTCTCTTTAAAAGGGTGGACCCTTTTTTAGAAAGTTATAAAATATTGTTGAGTAAAGACATGTATATCTGATTGGCTGTAAAAGCTATGATCCCGCCTCCCATACTGAAAGGAGGATTCTTATTGGTTGGTTAATTTGTCATTGAGGGAAACAGAATCAGATGAAGCAGAGTTGTCAAGAAGAGAGACAGATCGTCTTCCTCCGTCTTTCCTCGGATAAAATCCTTTTGTGAATTCACTGTTTTATTTCTATTTTGAGTGTTTATGGCATGACTTTGTGGGACTCAGCATTATACGAGAGAGTACTTGCTGTGCTTGTTTATGTTCGAATGCAAAGTTTGTTAAATCAGTTAAACGGCAGATGAACTTTAAAAATTACAGGCGTTAGATAAATATTATTATTATTATTTTTTATTTTTTTTTGAGTGTCAAAAAAAGTGGCTTGGCCGCCACCGGAGAGAGAGGATAGCACGTTGGGAGTGGGATTTGAGGTACTTTGCAGGTTATTTTGTTGGCTCAGTTGAGTGAAGAAGCTATTTGGTTTTTATGCGTCCACAACCCACCCGAGCAACGACTCATCCGGCAACGGTGAGGTTGATGTGGAAGGGGGGAGGGGTTAAATAAGCAACGTATTTAAATGCATTTAAGGGAAAGGAAACAGTAAAAGAAAAATACTTTTTGTGAAATAGGAGTGGTCTGATTTGTTAGAAGGATCAGTTAGCAGTCTAGATGACTTGATGTCAAAATCACCTGTTCATAATTCTAGGAACACTCCCCTAATGCAAACACCTGAGTCCACATCCGTGTCACTGGGGGAAAAGTCTTATTTCCATACCATTTAAACATTTACAATTCATGCATCTGAACAAAAGCGCCACTCATTATTAATTGAACCATGTATGAGACTAATAATTATGCACGTTACTAAACACCGCTGGTGCAGCTGTGAAATGTCTTCATCATATCCAGTGACTTTCACTAATTATTAATTCTGGAAGTCTGGACAAAAATAATTACAACCTGGAAGGCTTTGGCCATGTAATATCATGTTGATTAATGTTTGTTCTTGTAGGGATTTTTTTTTTTATCAATATAAATGAGTTATATCATCATATATATAACGACAGGGCTAACAAGGGTAACAAAACAACAAGAAACACCTGGGCAGGCAATCAAGGGGAACCAACCAACAAAGGAACTAAAAAAGGCTTACAAAACATGAACAGGAAATGGGCTGGAGTTCCAATTTTACAATATAAAAAACAGTGTAAGACAAAATAAAATCATACATAAATAAGTAGAGAAGATCAGCTCATTTTAACCAGATTAAGATGAATAAAAAAAACTTCTAAAAAAAATTCTACACTTAATATCACAGGAAAACATGATACAGGATTATGTAAATTATGCCAGGAAAAAGAAACAGTTGTTGTTATTGTGTTGTTATTTTGTCCCAGTTATGAACACGAAAGGAATGAGCTCAGAAGAGAATTACAGGCTGTAGAATGCAAATAATTTACAATATGCAATATATTAAATTCAGACCGAGGATCTGGTAAAATTATGAAGCAGATAGTAAAATTCATTAAAATGGGTAAAGAATTACATGAAGTTATACATAAAAGTTCAAGACAGACACAACAGGGAAAGGGAATTAACAAGCAACTGAAGAATATATGGAATACACCCAGTTAAATCATTCAGGAACTACATGTTAATACTTTATACCGTGCTCTGCAAGTAAGTGGCTTAAAATTGGTTTTATTCTGCTCTGTTACTTTACATTTTTTTAAAGTATTTATCCAAACTCTCAATAGCATCCTGTTTTCTGAGCTTTTTCCACTGATCTGGAATCTCGCCGTTTCCCACACATTTTTTCTTGTAGTGATTTCCCAGATCTTTCTGAAATCTGCAAACGAACCACTTCCAGTATGGCAGCTCAAAGCAGTCAGGAGTGATGCTCCACTTTGCATAAACTCCTCCTGCTTTTCTGTATTCTTTATATGGAAACAATCCACCTAATGTAAGAAAGTCTTTATCACTTGCCACTAAATTTGTGCAAATATCAACACAGAAATTCTGTGATAGAAAGCAACGGTTTCCATTAATTCCAATGAGTCTGTGGAAAGGAACACTGTGATCTCCATCATGGTTTTCTCTGGTGTTGGTGCAGGTGGCTCCACAGAACGGACACTGAACCCAACAGCACTGACAGAGGTGATCAATCAGAAGCTCATCTGGTCTGAACTTGACATCCAGTTTTGTATTATATGTATGAGTGTTGCTGATGTCAGATGTTATGGCACTAAGTTCTTTTCTAATCACATCTTCTAGGAATTTAAAATCAACATCAGCATCATCATGTTTGACTCCACTGAGGTCTTTTTCAGAGAAGATCAGCTCATCTGAGAGCTGCTGTGAGAAACTCTTCAACCACAAACCAACATCTCCACTGTTGACTTGAACGTGTTCAGTAGATTCATGTGCTGCTTTCATGATCTTCTGCTGCAGGAGTTCAATGTTCTCCTTCATCTTGGGTAAAACACTGACACTGAACTGATCAGTGATGTATATACTGACTTCATCTCTGATGAAACTCTTGAAGTGATCTCTGGGATTATTAAAGTAGTCAATGTATTTCTCCAAATCCTCTTCTTCTGCCAGTGTTTCCAGGATGTGCTTCTCCAGATTTGATCTGTTTCCATTCAGTGATGCACATTCTGTTCTCATTTCAGCTGCTAAATCTCTGGCTGTCTTCTTGTAGACACTCTGCTCGATGGGCTCTTTAAGTTTCTGACAGATGTTCTTGCCAAAAATGGCAGCTGATGTTGCTCCATGACAGTATTTCTGGAAAATACTATAGTACTCTTCTCTCTTTTTCTCAACGTATATGACAGGAGCATTTCTGTCTCTGAACAGTCTGTGCTGATCAGTGATCTTCTCGTTTATTCTCTTACAGATGGAAAGAACCAAATCCCTGAAGAATTCTTTCTTGAATGCATATTTTACTGGTCTTTTCTGATGTTCAGTTACTCTCACCATGATGTAATTTGCAAGTTTTTGAATGTAGCTGATGTTGTAGCCCATCTTTGAAATGTTTAACATCTGAATATTTTTTTCTGTTATCTGCAAAATGTCTGTAACTAATGATTTTATTTGGGGTTCATCCTCTTGAGATAGAATGGAACCCAACTTCACTTTAGCTGATCTGAAGGCATTTGTAAAAGCTCCTGTTAATCCACTGGATTTCTTCAACTGCACATAATCTGAATAACTTGGCACAGAGAAAATATCCCTCCAGTGATCTACAGGAGCACTTCCATAGGCATCATTGAGGATCTTTCTCACATCTCTCATTATGTCAATGTCTTAAATTGCAGGAGTGTCCGTGATGATCATATTCAGATACTGTTTCCAAAACAAATCAAACTCTTTCTTCATTGTTTCTTTTTTATTTCTTTGTCTTTGAGTTTTAAGGCAAGCTCTTTGCTCTTTTCATAGAGAGTGTTTACATGAGCCTCATTTAACTTCTTCTTTGTTTCTCTTACAATGTTTCCCTGAAGTTCTTTGATTTTAATGTCAAATGATGGTTTCAAGTGGATTAGTAAAACTTTATCTTTGTCTTTCTCAAATAATTCAGACATTGATTTTTTCACATCCTCACTTGTCATCTTCAGTTCTCTTCGAACATCAGTTTCCTCATAACTTGCTTCATTTTCTATTTTGTTGTATAGTTTGTTCTTAGTCTCCATCATGGCACTGCGAAGACTCCAGGTCCACTTGCTGTATTCGGTCTCCAGTTTCCTGTAGGCTGAAATCTCCAGAGAATTCCTGAATGTGAAGACAAATTTTTCATTCAGTAAAGCCTCCCAGAGATATTTAGTACGATCTTTTAAGCCTTTCAGTGTCATTCCATGTGATTTTGCGGCATGAGAAAGAATGGATTTCTTTAGTTCTTGAATGTTTTCACAGTAGTTTGGGTTTGGTGGTGCCATTGGTGGGCTGCCCTCCCAGAGCTGAGCAAAATACTTCACATCATTCTGAACATCAAATCTAATGACATCACTGAAACATCCTGCATCATAAACTTCCTCCTTAGCAGCGAGTTTTGTCATCTCATTCAGTGTCTCTTGCAGTCGTCTCCTCCCCTCCATGTTTTTCTCTCCAGCTGTGACATGTTTTTCTCTGAAATGTTCTGATGCACAAACACACAACTGGGATTCAGTCTGACCTTCTTCATCCTCATGAAGGCCTGAACAACAATCTGAAGAATGTCCTGCATCTCAGATGGGTTTTCTCCAAATATATTGATCAAGGTCAGATTTGCAAGACCAACAACAAATGTGGCCAATTCATTGTCATGATCTCTTATTGATTTTCCAGCATGTTCTAGAGCACGAAGACCCTCATTATTAACAACCAGAATATAGTCAAAGTTCATCTGTGTTTTCATCTCGTCTGAGACTCTGACCAGCTGCATGAAAGCTCCTCTGGTTGTTCTGCCAGCACTGACGGCAAACTGCAGTCTAAACATGGCATTCAGCATGGTGGATTTCCCAGAGCTCTGAATCCCTAAAACTGACAGCACAAAGACTCTCTGGTCTCCTAGTTTCTGGATGAGTTCATCTAGAACAGCAGAGATCCAGATCAGAGGAACATGAGCAGCATCTCCATCCATCAGCTCCAGTGGAAATCCAGAGATCATCATCTCTGCTGCAAGACTCGAGAGAGAAGAGAAGGGAAACTGCAGGTCTTTCTTGTTTTTCTTCACAGATGAACATGATTCATAGATCTGACCGATCTCCCTCATGATGTGCTCCACACCAAAGGTTGCAGCTTGAAGCTCCTCAGATATCTTCTCAAGTTCTGTTTGTTCTGCTATGAGTTGTTCAGATTCATCATGATTCTCTTTCGATTTTACAACTGCTGACCACTTGTGATGTAGAGCAGAAAGATCAGCTGATCTACGTTCATCCAGGAGGATTCTGAGCCACTTGAAGAAATACACCTTATTTGCAGCTTCTGAATTCATTTCTTTAATAAAAAACTTCATAAACTCGCTGATTTTAGATATATGCTGTTGTTCACGGATTTTCTTTAGTTCTATATGTTTTCTGCTTATGTCCGTTTCTGTCTCATATGCTCGAGGTCGATGTAGTTCCTTGTTCTTCTGACTCCACTGATGCCACAGTTTCCCCTGATGAGGCAGAAATGATTCTTTGATTTCTGTCAGATCTTTCTTCTCCAGTAAACTCATCATCTGCTGTGCTGCTGCTCTTCCTCTCCTGCAGTCATCATCATCTTCCTCATCTACTCTGATGTCTGAGTGTCTGGACACATCTTCGAGTCTGAAAGTGAAAGATGATTCTGAGAGACACTCATTTATAGCTCTTCTGAGTTCTTCAGATACATCTGCCTGACTTCTGTATTTCAAACCAATTTTTAATTTTCCATTATTCATCTCAGTTACAGTAGATTCATCCTCAGTAAGAAGACAAATGAGGGGCTTTCTGTTTCTGAACAGGCTTTGGATCTTTGCTGCATGTCTGTCATTTCTGTGAAGTTCAGGTAGAAGAACAACATTGACTGAGGCCATTTCAGTGAGGATCTGCAGCTGTTTCTCATGGTCTCCTGCATCACCGTGTAGATTACAGAACGCAACACAGTCAGTGAATTTATCATCATATGTTCCAGAGGGACAGAACCAGGCGATCTCCACCACTCCATCCATCAGGACTCTGGTGCTGCTGCTGCCTGGGCAGTTCCTGTGGAAGAACGTGTTGTGTTTCTCATTGATCAAACTGTTCATCAGCTGAGACTTGGATGAAGACACAGAGCCAAACCTGAAGAAAAACACCATTGGAGTTTCTGCCTTGTAGATCGGCTGGGTTTGACTGATCGTTTCATTGCTGTTGTTTCTCATCTTCCAGCTCTTGTTGATTTGTCCGAATGTCCAGAGAGGAAACTCAATCTGTCGTGTGAATGGATCAGGAACAAGCAAAGGCAGAGCGTACTGACAGTGGGACAGTTTAGTCACCATTAGCTGCTTCAGGAAACCATCAGCACAATGAAACACAGCCATCTGAATATCCATCGGGTGGATTCGCTCAGAATGACTTGTTCCTTTATTAGACAAAGACATTTCTTTCAGATTATCACTTTTGTCTTCAGATGATTCAATGTCTCTTTGTTGCATGTGATGTTGTTCATTGGTATCTTTAACATTATTGTATTTTGCTCTGTAGTTCATCATCAGTAGTTTTTGTATGAAACTCCAAACCAGCTTCTTCTCAGCACAAGACATATGGGACTTTAATGAATGAGCCGTAAACTGAAGAACTTCTATAATTTTCTGTTTATTTTTGTTCTTGTCGAGATGAAGTCTTTGAAATAGTTGCTCTATTTTTTCTCTCCCAGTCTTTTCCTGTATGTGTTGATCTAGACTGACTCCTGCTGGTCCATCATCCTTAGTTTCTCCCTGTTGTATAGAAAATAAAATAATGCTAGATTTGTTTTATTCATTGTTAAATATAAATCAGAAAAGCCATTTGCAAACTGATTGCGTCAGAGTTTCATTAAAAAATTCATAACTAAATAAACAAATAAATAAGTTCTTTACACTTAAGCATAACAAGCATTACAGCAGCAGATCAATAACTGGTTGATATGAATTGTAAAAAAATATTTTGTTGTTGTTGTTGTTAATTAAAATTCAATAATGATATTTGACAACTTGAGAGGGACTTAATATTGCTGGTCACAGTTTCAGGATCTCAAACTATCTGGTGCCACAACATTACAAAAGAAAAAAAAATTGTCAAAAAAAAAAAAGACCAAATTAATACCCGTGGCTCCTGACGATACACTGAGGTCTTATGAAGCGAAATGATCAGTCTGTGCAAGAAACTGAATTTTTTTTGCAACATTATTACCATTGATCCACAGCCTGGGCAAACTGTTCTCAGTGCATGTGTTCACGACTGGCGCATAATGGCATATGTGTGGGTGCATATTCACATGTAAGCTGAAGCTGTTTGCTTACCATAGAGAGTGAAGACTTGTGTGCAGACCTTCACTAGCAGTACCAATGTCTAAAGCTCATACAAATTACAATGGCTGATGAGTTCGATGTGAAAGAGGATGACATGGGATTTTTTTATGCACAGCCCTACTTGTTCGAACCAGAATACTCTGAACAAGAACCGAGAGATGCAGGAAGCAGCGCAGCGGCACAACCACAAGCCTTGGTGAGACTGAGGGCCCTTGAGACTGGGTGGAGTTGATCTGGATCAGATGTCGAAAATCTGTGAAATGTCAATCTTCCTGAATGAGATTGCGCACATGAGCGTAATCCTAATTTTTTTAATTGGTTACAGCATCCAGGATAAGCACAGGTAAGTACCATTTTGACAAACACTAAAACACACGCATCCTCACTCTCCATTGTAAACAAACAGCATCAGCTCACATGTGTTTTTGGTCATCTCTCTCAGTTTTTGGTCGGAGTATTTTGGACGAGCGAGTTAGTTAGGCTGGTGCGTCTGTGATACAGCTGTTCTGCATTCTAATTAAAAGTTAAGACACATTTAGACATATTTTGGTTTACAAACTGTATTGTTTCATCAGTTAGTCAAGTTAGCACTTGGCTAACATATCCACCATTATTGTTTTGTGAAGTGTTTACAGTCTAGCAGCTAAACTTTAGCTGTGGGCACGATTTGCTTGCATTGTATACGGAAAGACTAATCACAACAGGCTTGGCCAGCTGACCAATCAGAGCAGAGTAGGCTTATGGAAGGGAGGGGTTTACAGAATGAACTGCTTCGAACGAACCGTTTCAAAATCATTGACAAATGACTCTATGTATAAATGTATATTCTGATAAAAGTACAATGTTTTCTGACCTTAGATACATTTAAACCTGTTGTAGGGGACTCCAACACAATATTAGGACACTTTAAAATACCATATGACCTGCTCTTTAAAAATCAAATACTTTTTACTTTTACTCAAGAATAATTGAAAATGAGTACTTAATACTTTTACTGGAGTAATATTTTATTATTTATCAATTTTGATTTCATGTGGAATTTTTTCTATGGCTTATGCTGTAGGCCACACCCAAATCACAGAAAGCCATCTGTCAGCATGCAAGTACCCAATTTAGTTCTCCTGTGCTGCCCACCTTGCTTGAATTGTCAAATACACATGTATGTGTCAACTGAGCCCATTGTCTTTGTCTTTGATAACACTTGCTGTTGGCTACTGAGGTTTAAAATGTTCTGAGAGAAATTGCATCAAAATAAAACAGGCTAAACCCATATGTCTCTAAAAATTTTGGCTAAAACTAACCTTTGAATAATTTGATTCAGAATCTTCAGGGATGATGTTTCTTGTTACACCCTTCTGTGTTTTCTGGTGAATCTGAAAAAGAGAAAAAAGCACAGTTACACTTTATTTTAAGGTGTCCTTGTTACAGTGCAATTATACATGTGCAATTAAGTACTGAGTAATATTAAATAACTACATGTATTTACTATATTATGGTTCGGTTTTGGATTAGGGTTTGGCTTAGGGTTACTTGCATGTAATTATGCATAATTAATTGTTATTATAATAGTAAGTACATGTAACGTGTAACAAAGACACCTTAAAATGAAGTGTTACCAAAAGCACTTATTATTACCACTGAAAAGTATTAAATTTGAGTTTTATTTTCGGGTTCAGATTATTTAAAAAAATGAACATGAACACACTTGTCCAATGACACATTTGCCCATGCATTGTGGTTACATAACAGTCATGTACTAGGGTTAGCTGGGTTTTCGTGATGATCTTTCAGTGTGTATTTGACGGTAGTTTTTCTCAAATGAAGCAGTGAAAACCTGGTGAAGTGACTCTCAGAGCAGCTCTGGAGATGAAGTTTGAGTGTTCATGTCCTCATATGAGATGCTGAAAATAATAATTGATTACAATGGATTCTATGTGGTTTTGACACGATGCATTGTGCCGTTTGTATCCAGAGTAGACAGGACAAAACTTTACAGTTTACACTAATGGTATAAGACAAGACGGTGTATTGTTTCCATAGCAATGACTTTATACTTTAATTTCTGTCATCTTTCTGTAGTAGGCTTTCTCTGTGTGTCCTCTCGACGTCGTATTTTCCTCACTTTCATCACTTTCATCACTTTCGCTTTTCTTCTCGTACACTGGTTTACTAAGATATTTTTTTACCTGGCTTTAGAGAAGTCTGTGATGATTCATCTCTCTTTGATGATCTCTCTGTTTGTGGCGATTCATCTGTCTTTGGAGATTCCTCTGTCTTAGATTTGTCTGTCTTTGGAGATTCTTCTGTCTGTGGAGATGATGATGGTGTGAGTTACAAATTACATATGACAACAAATAATAATGAAATTATAATTTCTCATTTTGCAAGGTTAAAAAAAATCAATTTGGTCTTAATTTTCTCCACCAGTGAAGAAAAAAAAACATTTATTTATACTACAGGGCTACAACATGCATCCAAATAAATAATTTAAAATCAAACAATCTCCTTTGCCTCCACTTTCTTGCCTTTCTCCCGGTGGTTGCGTTTATCCAACACACTATTTTACATTTTGGTGAATTGGCTCATTTGAATTAATTTGTATGATTTCATTTGTTTCCTGTAACAACATGCTAAAATATGGGTAATTAAAGCATAACGAATTTACAACATTCTATTACAACAGTGTTAATATAATAAAGTTATATGACAAATTGGCATAGCACATATTGGACCTAATTTAATATTAAAGGTATAATTCACCCAAAGATTTTTAGCTGACTTAAAACTGTGGTCCTTGGTAATTCATAAAATGCAAGGCAGCAGCTGCCGGGTTTTTAGAATAAAAAAAAAAAGAATATTAACACAAAATTAATACCCATGGATCCTGATAATATATTGAGGTCTTAAGAAGCGAAATGATCAGTATGTGGAAGAAACTGAAGATTATTTACAACATTATTACCTGTAACCAAGAGCCTCAGGCAAACGGTCCAGAGGTGTGTCTGGTTCATGAACAAATTATTTTGAACGAGTTCTTTTTAGTGAACTAGATATACCAGTTCACCAAATTGGACTGAAGTGTCTGAAACAGTTCTACGTGCATGAACCGTGTAATTGAATGAATGGGTGAAATGAAAGTTTTTATGGTTTCTCATAGTTTAAATAAAAAGATGAGCTGATGAAGACTATTTTAGTCACTTTATATGCTCTAGACATGTAAAACATTTACGTTTCAAATCATTATTGTTTGCTTTAATAATATAAGTGCGTGCCATTACGTCATTGTGTGATTATGTAAACAAACTGATAAATAATTTATCTGAGTCTGAAACAAACTGTCCAAAAAACAGTTTGTGTAAAATAATCAGATTTCCCTGTTTGCCTGAGGCTCTGGATTACAGGTAATAATGTTTTATATAATGTTCAGTTTCTTGCACAGACTGATCATTTCGCTTCATAAGACCTCAAAATATCATCAGGAGCCACGGGTATTAATTTTGTGTCACCTGATATGCTTTTCTTATTCTCAAAAACGGGCAGCTGCTGACTTGCATTGTATGAATCTCCAAGGACAACGGTTTCAGCTAAAAATCTTCTTTGCTGTTCTAATCAAGAAAAAAAGTCACCTATATCCTAGATGGCCTGAGGGTGAGTAAATGAACAGCAACATTTCATTTTTGAGTGAACTATCCCTTAAAGACAGCAACGCAACTGAAATGCTCCCAAGTCCAGAAACGTAGCAAGGATATCTGAGATCTGCGGTTGAACCACTGATGTCACATGGATTATTTTACAGATCTCCTTGCTACGTTTCTGGACTTGGGAACATGTCAGTTGTGT